CCACCAGATGTCACCGGAGAGGACTGTGTTGAAAAGCTTCGAGTAATGAACCGTTTTTCAATACAAGCTTCAGTGCTTCGGAAAGGTTCATTTGGCCATCACTACTGAAAACTATTTAAACTGAGAACAACTAAACTACTGAACACAAACCAGGACCTGAACATGAAGGAGGATGAGCAGAGGTAAATGACGACGGACATCATGAAGCATGGTGGATACACAGACAGACCAGCCACTACAATGACAGAAAACACGACCTAAAAACACTCAGAGAAACACAGGGAGATTACAGACAGGTGGGGGACACAGCTGGGAGTGATTAACGAGACGAGACAAGGGAGGTAAACTGAACACGCTCACATGAGACATAGACTTTCACAATAAAACAGGAAACAAGAAACCACTAAACAAAGTTTATTTTTTGCCTGTTTGACAAATTGTGATAGTTGACAAAGATAACCTGAGTAAATGCAAAATTGTTTTTAGATGACCATTTCATTTGTTAGGGAACAAAAGCTTTCAAACCTAGGTAGAGCAAGAATTAGAGCAGGCCCTCTACTAACTGGAAGATTGGTGGTTTGATTCCTGGCTACTCCAGTCTGCTTGCCTTGGGCAAGAAACGGAACCCCAAGTTGCTCTTTGATGCATTCATCAGCGTGTGAATGTTAGCCAGAAAGCATCAGGTGTAGAAAAATGTGCCTGTTTGAAGGTCTGTGTTTTTTGTGGAGTTTTACAAACTATCAAGTTGCCTTATCATAACGCAAGATAACAAGTCTTCATGAATCTTATTACAAATATAGCCCTTTTATGTTTAGCATCAGGTGCAGAACACAGTGGTAACTCACCTGAGCTGCTGCTTATATCCCCAGCAAGTGCTCCAGCTTTTCTGCCGTTCTTCACCTTCCTCTGGAGGAGCTGCTGACAGTAGCCAGGATTTGCTCCATCCTGGTACGCACACATCAGTTATAGTCATCATAACTTCAGCGTCCGCACTGAAGGAACTCTCACTTAGCGTCTCATCATCTGTGAAGTCGTTTGTTTCAAAATCTGCTCCAGACATTTTCCATGAATCCTCCCAGTCAAAGGGTTCATCCTGTTGGATGATTCAAGAGTGGTAATACAAATATTAATAAGTGTTTATCTGATTCAGTGCTCATGTAGCATCTGGCCAAACCATAAAGAGCAGAAATCAACAATACAACAGTCATTGTAATGATCCCCACCTCCTCCTCTAGCTGTTGTATTTGATCAAAGTTGTTGGTTAGGTTTTGTTGGTAGTCAGTCCAGATATAATCCCAGTCCTTTTTCTCCTGCCTGAAGGGAAAGTTCATGATCTTCCAGGTACCAGCCCAAACAGGAAGAGAATATGTTTCTATCGCAACCTTACAAACGTTCTCTCTTTGAAATAGAATATCCCAGTGAAACTGTTTTGCCTCAGAAAGCTCCACCTGGCCTGGACTCTTCACCTGGAAACAAGAAAAACAAGACAACACTGCAAAGTTATCTACAAAATCTGAACAGGATGTTAACTGAACAGCAAACTCTGTTTGATTAAGATCAGGTGACTTGTCCCTTGAAGGATATTTAACGAATTGTTTTGTTTATTTTTCTTCTGACCCTGTTTGGGTGTTTTAGGCACTTTTACATGTATGGCACCTTGGAAGTTCCTTCTATCAAGCTATGTCGTGTAGTCAGGACTGTACCCAAAATATTTCCCAGACCTCAAAAACTGCAGGCAATATTAAATTTTACCTGTTTCCAGGATTGATACCACTTATGAGCAGGAAACATCCATTCACCCTTCAGTCCGCTCCCCTTTGCTTTGTACTTGCTGTTCTTAGTTAGCTCTATGGTTGTGAACCCTAGAATTCTGGTTTGCAACTCTTGGGCTTTCAGAAAAAGATACTTTGGTGGCTTCAAGCTCATCCAGGAGTCCTTCCAGCAAATTCGAAATGCATCAACCTCTACTTTGCGCTTTTGCCTTCGAAGTCTGGGTGATGTTGACCTTCTCGGAGGAGGTGGTGGAGGAGGAGGGTCGGCTTTGGGTTTGGGAGGAGGAGGGACAACTTTGAATCGAATTCTGGGCTTGTTTTTTTCTGCTTCAGCTGCACCACTTGTGACCCTCTTAAACTCACTCATGCCATCTTTCATCTTGTCTCCATTAGCAACCAGCCAGTGATAGTTCCATTTTGAGAGTAGCCTGCAGATTAAAACAAAAAAACACGCTGGATCAGTGTATATGAATACAGATCTTAGGTACAGAAACATTCATCAGCTGTGGACCAAGCACCAAACCTCCTGGCTGGCGATTACAGGCTGGTCTCAAATTATTAATGAAATGATTTGTGAAAATTAAAATGTATTTTATGTAAAACTTACTTTTTAAAAATGTTTGACCAGAAACAAACTTCTGCATCTTTTCAAGTCAGCCCAAGCTCCATAAACAAGTACCTTTGGACCAGTTATCTATTGACATTAAAGTTTGATTTTACTGTTGTCTTTGAATGATGGAGGTGATTCAGGAATTCGTAGAATAATAAATTGTGATAATAAATTGGGAAATAAATTATAAGATAAAAATCTGAAAATCTTTATAGCTGCATTTTCAAATTTTCAACATTTTCTTTACATTGTACAAAAAAAAGGTTTATTCTCACAGATTGGTGGAACTTTTCTGCTTCCATTGTTCCTCTTTTTTGTTGTCGTCGGCGATGCTCTGGGCTCTCTTCTCCCACTGGTCTCTCAGACGCCCATTGCTGAATGTTCTCTGCTCCCCCTTTGTAGACAACATCTTGTTACCTGAGAGATGTAGAAATAATAATAATAATAATAATAATAATAATAATAATAATAATAATAATAATAATAATAATAATAATAATGATAAAACAACCATAAGAAGCCTTTAGAGGTTTTTTTCCCCAAATGACAGAAACATTAGGATCCAATCTCTAATTCTTAAGGCCTGGTCAGCTACAGCACTGGAAAAAATGTTGAATAGACCAAATGTAACCCAAAACTTGTGAACTATAGGCTTGACAGTGGTTTCAGCAACTTTGTGAGCCAAATGTGGTCCATATGCTACAATGTGTCTGTTATTTGGTCCATGTCAGGCAAACCCTCAGCTAAGTTGAAGCAGCCTGGTCTTTGGTCAAAACTCATAGCCAAAGAAAATACTGACAACAACAATCAAAAGTATGACTCCCATGAGTGTGGAGTAAAAAAAAATTCCATTTGTTGATTTAAAATGACGTTTGTGGCAGACCTGCCATGAGGGGGGGGAAAAAAGTGGAACAGCTTTCAAGAAAAATGATGAAGAATGGATTTTTTGTTTAGAAACAAATCTTGTTTCTCATGAACAACTCGATGATTGCACAATCAACAGTTTTGTCTGTGCTTGATTGTGGAGATGCTGCAGGCATGCATGTTTCTATATCTGTAGAACCCAAAATGTTGATTTTGTTTTTATTCTGTTCATCTGAATGTAGCGTTTTCAGTGGGAGAAACGTTTCGTCCCTCATCCAAATGACTTCTTCAGTCTCAGCTGACTGCAGGTTTCTCAAACCCTATAAACAGTACATTTGCTTAATAACTGAAACCAGCCCACTGAATGAACAGTGGGCTGTGAGGTTGTTCATTCAGTGGGAGTCAGCTGAGACGGAAAAAGTAATTTGGATGAGTGACGAAATGTTTCTCCTACTGAAAATGTTACGTCCAGATTAACAGAATCAACCTTTTGGGATTTACTTACGTGGATGACTGAGCATGCATCAAAATATTATTTGTAGAAGTACATTATGACTCATCACAGGTATTTTCTTACTCCTCTGTATGTTATATGGAAAAGTGTGACAATGCTCCCTAGCAAATAGAAGACCTCTACTTCTTGTTTGAATTTAAAGTGAGTACTTACAGCATCAGGTCACAGGACATTTAACATTAGCTGTACTTGCTGTTCATACTGAACTTGGAAAAACTGGAAATAATTTGCAGCCAATAAATGTAACGAGCTACAAAAAACTATGAAACTGCATTCTGTGATTCAACTGGAACATTTTAAAAGGTTATATTTGTCTATCTGCAACTAGTTTTGCATATGTTTTTCTTGATTTGTGATCAGTGTAGCTGTTTGTCTCAATATTTGGACACGTTTGTTGTACACGTCTCTAAAAATAGATCTAAATTTCAATGAGACTATAAAGGATTTAATAATAACAATAATGCGACAGCGGTAGGAAGAATGTGTACATGCCAGACTGGAATTGGATGTCTGTATTCCTCATTTAGACCCTGATTTATCCAGTGGAAACTGATGCAGGAAATTGAGTTCCTTAAAAGGTTTTGTCTCTTGCAAAGGCACCTGTGTTGAAAATGGGGCTTTTTTTTTTGGTGTGCTGGTAAAGAATCACCAGAGATCTGTTGATTCTTTTACTTCTTCCTAAAGTACATCATGGGCTACTTCTGACTTTAAGTGTCATTAGTTATTCAAGATTGCAGGAACAAAAATTAGACGTATGCTGCACATTCTTGGAACAATGCGCCTCAAAATGAAAAATGTTACATAGATTATTGTTATTAACTTTCTTGTGGGGTCTTGCGAGATACTGAGACACAGATTTCTATCTGGTCTCAAAATGGAGATCTTTGGAGTGTAAGGTAAATATGTTAACAACTGCACCATGGAGCATCATTTGGTTATTCATTACAACATTTATTATTAAAACTAATTATTAAAATATCCTTTCCAGGTTTTTATTTCTTAGTTCAGATGTCATATTGTCTACCTTGACTGTATTCCTTGAAGTTTAGTTTGGTTTTTCAGTTTGACTGATTAATTTGACACTTTACTGTTTTCTCAAGTTATACTGCAATAATTTCAAAGACAAAGACTAAACTTTGAAGTAGTGAACCTATTCAGAAGATCATCACAATTCCCACAGTACACAAACACAATACAACACAGAAATGTAGCACAACATTTGCAGCCTATAAACACAACACACCAAATGTCCATTCTTTACCTTGTTTTCTCTGTATGGCTTTTCAAAATATGTTTCCAGTTTTGAGTAATCAGTAAATTAAGTTACTAATACACCACTGAGCTTATCTAGATAAACATACTTTCATTCCGTATTGAATTCAGAAACGGTATTCGATATGAAACCGTTCCAACATTTTAAATTGGTACTTAAAAAGTAATCACCACCCAGTCTCCTCTTAGATACATACCGATAGTTCAACACAGTTTTGAGCCCAGCTTTGGTCCAGTTCTCAGTGCAGCGTCTTGTTGAATACTGGCTCATGTAACTGTGACACCAGACCACCACTTATGCTCTAAAATTAAACTCAGCTCTTCTTCAAGGAGCGACAACAACAAAACATCACAGCACTGATTCAGGAAAGATGGAGATTCTGTGTCATTTAAACATAATAATAATGTCAGTTTGTTCATTTTAATCTGAAAATGTGTATATGTTAATGCCTTTGCTGTCAGTCAATGGTTTGTACTCTTCAGTTCATTATGATTCAAAAATAGAGAGAGGCTTTCACTATTTAAATAAAATGAAGATTCTCAACATTTTCTAGAAATAATCAGTCAAATTATACACAGGATATGTATATGATACTTTGATAAACTACAATAATATGGACAACCAGAGTCAGAGTTACAGTGAACTCAGAAAGGTCCCCGCCTTTAATCTGTGTCTGCTTAGAAAACTGACTCTGGACTTAGCAGTGTCTGTGTAAATAAATGAAGCATACTTAACAGACTAATGGTGAACTAAAATTAGAAAATGACCTCACATCTCCTTCAACACCTCAGTGTTCAGGATTTCCCCATCGGACACTTAACAAGAATCAAATGACAATAAACTCAAGAAAAGAAATGACTACAGGCCTGGAAGGGTTACAAATATAAATGAAATGAAACCTTTCTAAACATACCACAAATTGCAAGTATCAGCTATGATTATCTAGGCTAAAGATGCATATCTCTCTTTATTTTTGACACATAAAGTTAAAACTGTTATCCGTCCTCTCCTCGGAGTCTGAGGAAGTGGTTAACAGTTTTCATTTTTCTTTGTAGGTTGGAGGATGCGGGGGTATGAGAACACACAGGTTTCTGAGTGCTCCTGTCCTGACTAAACTTTTGTGTTGAACTTTTAGGTTTTGTCAACAAAATTGCTTGGTTAGTAAAGTAATCCTGCCACAACTGGTGCAGTGCAGATATGAGGACCCAAATGCAGGACAAAGTAACAAAAAGGGAGCTTTAATGGCTGATAAAAAAGTTACATATAAACTAAGTCTAAAGGATAATGATACAGAAATTCAGAAACACAGAAAATCACACAGAATTGTGAAAAGTACAGCACAAGAGAGAACCGCAAATCAGCAAAGACAAAAAAAGGGACTAAACATGAACGGTGGACTAATTACACCACAAGAAACAGGAGGGAGCATAAAAAAAAAGCAACCATCAACAGGCGAAGAGAATCAGGGAAACAGGGGGAAAGCTAGACAGGAAATAAAAATGACACATGGCACATAAAGGACTTTCAAAGTAAAACAGGAAATAACCAACAGAGAACTAACACAGACATGTCAGTGAGAAAAGAACACCGGGGGACAAAGGTATTAACACAGTACTACAATTGCTCAGTACATAAATCAGAAGAAAAGATATGACAATAACTTAAACTCAGCACTATAATAATCATAAAGTAAAAAATGGAAACAAAGACTTAATATCACATCAATTAAAACTCACAAAAGAGATCAAAAGAAACCAAAAATCCAAACACTAACCAAACAAACCAAAACTTAAGTTCATTAAAAAAGAATCCAAGTTCAAAAACACAAAACCATAGCACCATAACACGTGCTTTTTAGTGGTGCTAATAAACACTTTCACAATGTCTTCAAAAGCCCTGAAGGCAAACTTCTCTCATATTCTGTACCTGATGAAAGATGTTGCTTTATTGAAGCACAGTACGGGAATCAGAAAAGTTAGAAAAGCAAAAAAGGAAATAAGAATAAAGCTTGGACTGACAATCAGAGCTCCTGGGCTTGAGAGGATTCAAATCTTACTTTTAGTCGTTATCGTAAAGATTAGATCAACGTCTGACCAAAGTTGCCTTTTGTTACTTTTTGCATTCAGGAACATTAACTTATTAACGGATAATGTTGGGTTTTTACTTTGAGCATATGTCAAATATGCTCAAATTAGGTCTTTCAAATAATGCGTTTATTACAGTTTTTCTGTTAGTGGGTGGAAATTATTTCTCTGAGGTCTAAGTCATCAGGTGCTAATCCTGTCCCACATTTGGAGAAAGGTAAACAGACTATTCTGGAAAAGTTTTTAATGTTTGTGAAAATGGTTGTTCTCCTTGATCCCTAATTGATGAGACCTGAGAGAAGAAATTCATAAAAAACAAGCTTTAATTACATAATCTGACTGCCCAGGGTTAGAGTTCAGGTTTGGGTCATCACCAATGGTGATGTAGACCTGAGAGGGTTAAAAATGTCTTTTAAGTTTTGCTTTTATTAATGTAATACTTTTGTTATTGTAAGACTTGACAGTCCAAGCAGTTAACCCTGGGAGCCTACATTACCCACAGTGCAACTTGACCACTGGCATGTCCAAGATAAGTGTTTTATGCTTCTAGCAGTATTTGAGCCTTGAGCCTCTGTGTTATAGTCTAGCCCTAACTTACAGATGCACACAGACATGTAATGTAGCTTTCTTCATTAGGTATCTTTAGTATTTTTTTCTTCAACAATCTAATTGAAATGAATTATATGAGTGACTAATTCATTACAATATACAGGAAGTTCAATAAATGTAAAATTAAAAATAACAATCCCAACTTACCTGAAGTCTTTCTGTGTCTCAGATGTTTTATTTAAATCCCCTCTTACATGTAACTCTGCATTAATGTGGACCACAGTTTGTGTTCACTACTGACTGTCAGTGTCTGCGCCTGTCTGTCTCTACACTTTACAGCAGCTTCAGTGGTTCCTGTCTTACTCTCTCTCTCTCTCTGTTTTCAGTTCGTTTCTGCTTTTAACTTTTACCAGCGTACATTCAGTGTGTCCCGTGTCTCTGCTCTGTGGTGAGAAGGCTTCCCTTCTTTGCTATTTTTACATCATACGCTAACAGATCCAGAGCTCTAAATTTAGTTTCAGGGTGAGGCAACGAGAAACAGGACAGGAGCAGCCGGCTGCATGGAAATACGGAGAAGTGACATGAATTGTGCACAATCGAAATGGATTTTTAATTAACAGGTGCAGCTGCATAGACAAACAGGACAGCTGTTTGCAAGTGTTAACCAATCAGAAACCAAATGGTTTTTGAATCTTTAACAGCTGTAACATGCACATTTACTCCTCCAGAGATTTCTCACGCCGCCTGGCAATCAGCCAATCAGCACAAAGAGTCTGAAACACCTCTTCATATCAGATTGCAGGCATTCAGGCTCCCGTGGGAAAAGCTGGGTTAACTGTCTTCCTGACAGTTGGAGTACTTGGAAGTGAAACTGTCCTGCTTTACAAAATTGGTTCTAGCTTTAAAAAAAGGTGTCAAGTTTGTGGGAATGAAAGCTAAAGGAGACTGTGCCATTACCCAATTAATTTAAAAGCTGCTAAGTGGGAAAACATTCCAGTTTCCTCCATAATAGCAGTTTGTTGGCTGCAACTAAAAAATAAAGGCAATACAGGAGTTTCACCAAGGTTCCCACATTAAAATGTTCAGCTTTACAACAGAAATAAACAGATATGTCTGTGAAGGTTCTCAGTCATCCAGGTCATCGTAGTCAAAGGAGCTTGCAAAGAAAAGAGTCTGGACTTCTTTAAGTTACTTGGATACGTTTCACCTCTCATCCGAGAAGCTTCTTCAGTTCTAAGGTCAAATGGTGGAAATAAACAGACTAACAAAAGTTTACAACCTGATAAAAAAAAGGTTTCTGTGGAGTGCTTCCTGCTTCATAACAACAGTGAAGTGACATATCTTTTCACAACTCATGCTTGAGTTAACTTGGTCAGGCCTAAAGGTAAGGGTGTGACTGCTTTAAATGATTGTCATATCTATGCAAACAGACTGGTAGGTAACCATCTGGAAACCACCAGTCAACTGAGAAAAATGTACTCTTCCTAGCTGGTTGGTGAGTAGTTCCTGGCCCTTGCCAGGCAGAATAAATCATAAAGAGGATATGTCACCAAAAACATCCTTGTGATCGGTATTAAATTGCTACAGTCACCTGTAGCAAACCAGAAACAGAACATGATCTTCAAAATAAAAGATGTGCCTTGCTACTGTCAGCACTCAGTCAACACATTTCAAAAGATCCAGTGTTTTACTTCCAGTGTTTTCAGTACTGCCTGTACAGTAGCTGCCAAATGTTTAAAGACAAGTTTGCTAGCAGCCAAACCAACTGCAGTCACCTAGCAAGGTCACCTAGCAATGACCTCTCCCTCCACCCTGCCTCACCAACCAGTTTGAGAATAAACAGTTTTCCTTCCTGACATTTGGCCATGAAAACCTGGGCTTTCCAAGGTGGATGGGTGACTTAATAGTGTCTACATTCACCTTTTATGGTCTATGAGGTCAATTCCTGTGAAATATTTGGGAGGTTTCAATATTTAACATATACTCTGATGGGGCTTTATTTGTTGACGTTGTCCACCCACCTCACCTTTTGTGTCACCTCTAGATTTAGTGGTTTATATGATCTGGATAAACTGTCTGTTTGTTTACAGCCTGAGTGATTTATTTCTAGTGATGTTACCACATTTCTAGTTATTAACTTGTTGAAAGCATTATAGAGTCCACAACATCTCATTTTTTCATTATTTATGGGAAACTTCCTGCTGTTTAGACTAATAAAGGTTTGTAAACAACTATTTATACTTCAAGGCCACCTGAGATGACCGAAATAAGGCTGCAAGGCTCAGTGCCGTGTAGTGTGACTCAACAAAATACACTGTTGACATATAAAGACTGATGGCATTACCAGAACTGTCCAATGACTTGTTTGCTGGGCTGCTCATGTGACCATGTACTTCCTACACATCTTACTGAACTCTCTATACATACTGAAGTTACAGACCAGGTATTGGTGCTGCTCTCGGGTCAGGTTTCAGTGAGGTCAGACAGCAGCAGGAGTCCGCTCCACCTGTAATGGGATCCTCAGATCATCCTGCTCCTGATGACAGAAAACTACAGAAGGGCAACACAAACTGATGACCAGACAAACAGGCTTTATCATGATTTCTACAATAAAAACTGAT